CAAGATAATGAAGAAAAATGGACATTTGAGCTGATCAGCAGTATCCTTGGTGTAACAGACGGCAGTAAGAACCTCGGTGCGGACTGGTACGACCTTACTGGTTTGCTCAAATTCGAGCCTTGACCTGGGTATCCCACCGCCCGACTTCTTACACCTTCCTTATCCCGAATAAAAGCTTAGCATCACAAGATAGCCAACATGGACATTCATCCCCTTTCCTTCACCTACACTCAAACGGACATTCAGTAAGATAACAATTGCACTTCCTAGACACTCGTCATGACGGGTGATATTATGAGAATCAATCGATGATGATGAGTAACATATGGACATTTAGAATACTGTGGCATAGTTTGAGGACATTTCAATTGTATATATAAACCTACTATCTCAAGTAAAGTATGACACTCTTTACAACCTTATATCTACCTGCGTATTTGCACGAACTTTGGTAAAGAGACAACAGAGCTTCATCATTGACGGAACCCTTCATTAGCCATCGTTACCCTTCACTCCAGTTCGATTTGAGCAGATTGTGATCATGAATAATTGAGTCACATTTAACTATAGTAGATTCCAAATCCTATAGCAGCACGATTGACCCGTGACCCACAAACTCCGTGAGAAGACCTACTTGCCCTTATCACCCACTTCCACCCGGCTCCAAACTCTCATACTCACTCAAATGAGCCACTCCCCAAACATTCACCATGATATCTTCTAACCTGAAATTCACCCAACTACCCCAAGGATTCCTACACGTCACGTTCCTTCCCCCTCCCCAATCCGTAGTGTTCATCACCGCATACGCATGATTATTGCCTACAGGGGGTACAGTGACCGTCGGAGTATCAACAGTTGCCAAAACGATTGGACTGTTAGGTGCGTGACTGAGCATTTGAAAGAAATCATCAGAAGTCATCCCTTTTGTTGAAGCCATAACCGTTTTCTTCCCCGTATACACGCTCAGAGCGATTTCAGAATTACCTTCCATAGATATGATAGATCCATCCGAGGCGATTCCAGGGATAGACATTTGAGTACCAAGAAGTTGAATTGCTTGAGTCAAAGCGGAATGCCACCAGACACCATTAGGTACATCTTCGGTGGTTGATTCGTTGGCTATGCTGACGAGTTCGAAGACGGGGGAAAGGGTGGTGGGGTTGAAGACTTTGACGTAAACTTCTGGAGCGGCAGGAGAAGGGTTGGAGAGTGTGTAGAGGGATGTTCCGTTTGTATAGAAATATAAGGATTGAACGAAGGATGGAGAGGCGAATAAAACGGAAAGAGTGACGGCGGGTAGCCAACAATCGAGTACGGAAACTGATATTTAGTACAGAGTTCTATTCTTAGGTCCTATTTGTATAATGGTTGAGGGAGTAAGACGCGAGATTACGCGAGGCTGGAGGATGTGAGATAGACTGACCTTGTCGTACGTCATATACACTAGGGACACCCTGCCACAATGTGGTGTTGGTGAACTTGCTACCGGGCGGAAGGGTGAAGTCCACCGTTGCGGAAGCCGCAGGAGGGGTCATGGACAAAACTTGAGCTTGAATGTGAGTCAGCTGGTTTGAATAAAGAGGGATGCGAATCAGACGACTTACAGACGCCAGTGAGGAAGTAGACACACCGTAGACGCCATCGAGGCAACATCCTGAAACGAGAGGGGATCGAGATTAGACGCTCCAAGCGCCAAAGCCTAGAGTACTGGGAAGAAAGATTAGGGGTGAGATTGGACCATGAGCACTGAGAAAGTCATCAAAAGTCAGGACAATCGTAGTCACGAGTCAGCTGCAAAAAGTGAATGAAAGGAGTGGCGGAGATGACACACGAGTCTCCCTCAAAGCACAAGAAAGGATCCCAGGCTCGTCCATATGAAGATCGCCGTCATGCATAACTCTTGACCGGTGTCGCATCTGCCCCCAAGGGCAACACGCAAACCTCGGGAAGATCGGCCCCTTCAACCCATCCCCGCCATTCCCCATCCCAGTCCTCCCCTGCCCAACGAGGCAGAGGTGTCTCCCATGTTCCGAGCGAGTCCGTGGAGTATCTCAATGCGTGAAGGTAGATGAAAAGGGTCTCAGGATCAGGATCGTCTGGAAGAGGAACGTAACACTCTGGACAAAAGCCAGGAGGGAGATACGCGGGAGGACCGAGTGGAGAAGGGGTGTCGGAAGGAAGGGCCTCGGGTGGAGGGGCTCTTGAACGGGTGGGGATAGGTTTGGGATGTCCGTTTGGTGAGATTGTTGTCTCCATTGCATCTTGAGCTTTTCTGATGGTAAAGACTACTTCTTTCCATCTGATCGTCAGCTAGTCCGCTACTGACATTGGAGATTCTTGTCATGTGGCACATCAAATGTCAGGTTTGACATGAACCACTCACTTCACCCAATCTTCTTGTTCATCCTTCATTCTTCTCAATTTCGCAATGACATCCCTTGCCTGCTTACTGAGACGGATCGGACTGACGACGTCAATATCATCGTACTCTCTGTCGACCAATCTACCACCTCGGACCCAGCCTTCGGGAGGCCTTTCTGTCCCGTTCATTCGATCACTGTCGTCGGGCAGCGCCGGGGGAGTGGTCGAGGTAGTGGCCGCTTGTACTCTGGCAGCAAGAGCGGCGGTACGAGAAGACTCTGCAGGTTGCGGGACAAGCTCTACCCCTCCTCGTCCTAATGACGATCCCCAGATGGTGGGCAGGGAGTAAAGAGGATCATTGACGATGGGATGACCGAGGTATTGCAGATGTACGCGAATCTGGTGTGCTGCCAATCAGCGACGTCCCGATCCTATTCCTCCTGAGTGCTTGAGAAGCAAAAACGCTCACTTCTGCCGGTTATAGGTCGGCAATGTACCACGCTTTGATCTCGAGATGAGTCATAGCTCATCCTTGTGAAGATAGTCTTGGCTTCCTGCGAATCAGCGACCATCCTTCACGTCTTACCCTCTACTCACTTTGCCATCAGGAGTAACGATGACCAGTCCCATTTGTCTGTCAACGGTCATCAAAGGTTGGTCCACCGTAAGCTCCTCTCTGTCCATCAGTGGATGTTCGAATGCTCCTCCGCGATATAAGACGGACTCTGGAAATCTTCCCTTGACCCTAGCCACATATTCTTTCTTAACCCTGCCTTCTTCGAACTCCTTGGAGAGAATAGAAGCGGTCTTGCCTGACAGAGCCAGAATCATCAGGCCACTTGTCAGACGATCCAATCTGTTCACGGCTGAAACTTAGCTCTACCATATACAGGATGACACTCACAATAAGCCTTGATGCCAAAATCACTCTGCAATATCTCGAGCACAGTATGCCGGAAGTATCTTCCCGCTGCGTGCACAGGCTACTCTGATAAGCTGGTTTAGACAAGTCCAATAAAACGCTCACCATACTGCCAGGTTTAGAAATGACGATAAACCCTCTCTGCTTGTCCTGATAAAGAATGAGAATGGGTTGATTGGCGATGGGCGGTTCATGACGGTGAGTGGTATTGTCGATCCTGTCACCGTTTCGAAGGACCAGCTCTGGATAGGCTGTTTGACCATTGACACGAGTCACACCGGACTGTAGAGCATGTCGCTACTGATCAGCGCCGACTCAAACAGCTGGTCTGGTGTGGGATACATACATAGTATTCAACAGACCGATCTCGGAATTCTGTGCTGACCACCTCCAGTAGCTGGCGGCCGATCCATCTGCATTCAGTAAACAGCCCAACATTTGAGTGACACATACCTCTGTTTGCAATATGTTTGATAGGGCCACCAATATGGCTTCATATATCTGAGTTTTGGATTGTTACCATTAGGAAGCTTGTGAGATTTGGATGAGCTAGCCTCTGCGGTCGGCCACACATCATGGCCTGTCACTTGTAGCGAAAGTGCGGATGCGTCTGAAAAGTCTTGCAGAGCCATACTTGGAGAGTTGAGCTGTTTTTCTGTGTTGTGTTGGTAGAAGATAGTATACCACAAGTGTCATTAATGTCGCTGAAAGATGATGCGAAGCAGAAGAATTTGAGGATGTCTCGACCAGTGTGGCACCCTCGGATGTGGCAGTTTATTGACATGAGCAGATTCCGGATGTTAGGTGTCACAAAGTGTGTGACAAGTCGAGCGAAAGTCGGGGAAGGGTATTTAACCAGCGATCGGCGGTAGAGTTAACCGCCGATTAATAGGCCTTTTCGTCGCAGTGGTTAAGATCACTGTTCCGTTGGGCACTGTTATATCGTGCATATGCTGGTTAGTATGTCTCGTGACACAGATGAGGATGATGAGATGGGTGAGGTCGATGAAGATGAGGAAAACCTCAGTGTTGATCTCGGTGATCCAGCGCTGTTTGAGGATAGAGAAATGTGGGTGTCAGAGTTGGAAAAGTTAAGCCGTATGTCCTCTTGTCATATACCCTGTTCGTAAGTGTTGACATGTAGCTGTTCGCGATAATGAAGGTTCTCCCGAATTCCGCGTACGGCTCCAGACTTCTTTCGGGAAGAAACGGGTTGCGTATCAGGAGAAGATGGATGCTCTGGCTGAAATCAAAGCCGAGAAACGTTGCCGCTCCCCTTCCGCCCACGAAGAAGTTACCCCTCCTTCGGCGAAACGGGTCAAAGAGACCCCTCGGTTCTCTACAGGACAGGCTGAATTGTTCCCCTCCCCTTCCCACGAGCCAGGGAGTGCTCGCAAGGCTTCGTTGCGAGAACAGGATAGGCTATGGAAGTTGTTTATCGATGAAAGGGAGCGATGGGAGGTCGCAAGTATCGATGAGTCGTGTGCACGAGGCAGAAGAGTAGCTTCACCGTGACAGATGTCGGTAGGTTCCTTCCCTAGAAGGTTATACGTCTGCTGATCAGTAGCCGTGGAATTATCACGTATGGGAGATCGAAGTGGCCGTGTCTACGACCGGTCAAACCTCATAATCGCGGGTCCCGTTGTGCTTCTTGCACTTCTGGCCCCTGCTCGTTCTGTCCCCCCAACACCGCTCGGGACATTCCTCCTAGACCTTCTGCTCCCCTTGGTCTCCCCCACACTCCGTCCGCCGCTGTTCGCCGCCGTCTCCCCACAGCCCAAGACGGGGAATATCCTTCGCGCTCTCCTTCGGCGAACTTCTCCTCCCCTGGCCCCACCTCGCCGTCACCCGCCGTCCGTCGCCCGCCCAACTCTCCCGTGGCCGGACTGTCTCGTCTCCCTGCCACTCCTTCGGCAGGTCCGTCCCGTCACACTCCTCGTCGTGCTTCTTCCGCCGCTCTTCGGCCTTCTACTCCTGTGGCTGGCCCATCTCGTCTCCCGGCTACTCCTTCTGCCGTTCCGTCTCGTCCCACCAGGAGCCGTCCTACTCCTGTCTCAACTCAAGAGGACTTCTTATTCAAGTCTCCCTCCTGCCCTTGGGACCCGAAGCCGTCAACCATCTGTCCCTCCTGCTTCTGGGCTCTCAACTCCTGCCCCTCCTGTGAAAACTCCTCCGAAATCTTCGAAAGGGAAAGGCAAGAATAAGAAAGCTGTCCAGTTCGAACCGGCTGTGGTGGAAGACGAAAGTACTCAGCTACCCGGGGAAATCCTTCCTTCTCTCGACCACCCCACTATCGCTCTCGATCCTCGGATACCAGAGGAGGACAAACAATTAGCCACCTTCCGTTCCGTCATTATTGGCTTAACCACGCAATTACAAGCCAATAGACGAGATACGGCGAAGCTCGTCGAATATTGTGTGAAGCTGGTCTCTGCGATGAATACTCTCTCTCGGACAATGGCAACTCTTGCGAACTCCTCCGACATAGGGCCATTAGGGCGAACTGAGTTAGCTAGAGTCTCCCGAGAGCTCACAACGGACATGAGCGACTTCTACCGCAATCTCTTCGACTCTCCTTACCTCCTGAACCCCACTGAGTATATGCTCCCCCCTACACTGGACTGGTTAAGACCATCTCAACCAGCTCGACTCAGTTCTCAGGATGGTGCTTTCCTCGATATCCTAACTCTTCCCGCAGACTGTCTTAGAACACTTCGTCAGTTGTGGAAATCACCTAGTCTGAGTGTCGCTCGTGATCCTGCTCTCCACTCCGCTCACATTCTCGCCTTTAATACAGCATGGAAGGAGACTCGGGCCCTCCGACGGGCGGTGGGACCGAAGGTTACTGAGAGTAGTTCTGGGAGTGGTCCTGCACCGGGAAACGAAGAACAGGGAGGAAGTTCGCAGCAGTGAGTTGTACTTAGCTAATGTTGTACCAGTTGTATGAATTACTTCCTCGTTCGTGATCTCACCACTCGTCCTTTCGTCGGCTTATCCGGGTGAAGTTCGTGGAACTTCGCCAATATGTCATTAGCTCCGTCCACATTTTCTACTGGTTCCCATGATACTGCGTCATCCGAGCCTTCGTAACCTAACCATTCCACTAGATATTCTAACTTCCCTGACCTCTTATTTACTCTCGAGTCCACAATATCCTTTACTTCCCACGATTCTCCTACGTTATCTACCTCTACTGGGCCAGGTGGTTCAGCTTGCTGACCAGGAAATACCGGAGGGTGATAGGGACGGAGTAAAGAAACATGGAATACATCATGGATACCTGCCATCGTTCCTGGTAATTCCAGTTTACAAGCATGAGAACCTACTTGCCGTACTACCTTGTACGGCCCACTTTGCTTAACGTCCAACTTCTTCATTGGTCTCTTAGTCTTGATATTTTCTAATGACAGCATCACTAGGTCACCTTCCATGAAGTTCGGCGTAGTTCGGTGTTTCCTATTGTATCCTTCGGCGTACTTCTCATTAGCTCTCTCAATCCCCTCAATACATTCCTTATGTATTTCAGTTAGGTCTTTTACTGCTATTGTAGCAGCAGGTACCTCGACTTCACTAGCCTTAATCTCTTCAGCCCATCGAGGGTGGTACCCATAGTTCGCATAGAATGGGGTCTTGTTTATCGCGGAATGATGGGTGTTGTTATAAGCAAAGCTAGCTCGAGCAAGTAGCTTTGACCAGTCGTTCCGCTGGTAGGAAGTGAAGATTCGAAGGTATAATTCCAGGGACTGGTTCGTTCGTTCGGTCTGTCCATCAGTCTGTGGATGATACGCGGTAGAAAGATGTAGTCTTATCCCGAGACTATCGGTCAAGTTCTTCCAAAACTTCGAAGTAAACTTCGATCCTCTGTCTGATACTATACTCTCTGGTAACCCATGCTGGGCCACCACATAGTCCATTATCAGCTCCGATAGTCCAGCTGCGGTTAACTTCGTCGTGGTTGGGATAAACATGGCCCATTTTGTCAGTCGATCCACGACCACTAAGATAGAGTTATATCCATGGGAATTTGGGAGCTCTTCGATGAAATCCATCGAGATACTTGACCAAGGTTTTGTCGCTACTTGTAGGGGTTTAAGTTCTCCATGAGGCTTCTGTCTGTTAGTCTTAGCTCTCTGACATACCGCACAACCAGCGACATAGTCTTCTACATCCTTCCTTACTCCAACCCAAACATAATCCCTTAGGATTAGTTCAAGGGTCTTCGCCGAACCTGGGTGACCAGCCAAAGCCGAGTCATGTCGCATCTTCATGATCTTTAGTCGAGCGTCGGCGTAGTTCGGCACATAAGTGCGATCGTCGAATGTGAGGAAACCTCTCGGGGTCCACCCCCCACGAAGTATTAGAGGAGATCGCGAACTACGGCGTAGTTCGGTGATTGATCCTGGTTCCTGTACATCATCGTGACACGTCGGATGAGAACACTCAGCGCAGATAACTCCTAATAACTCCTCTCTAACCTCCTCTACGTCTTCGTCCTCCTGTACTCCAAGCATCAGATCCATAGGGTCAACAAGATCCTTTTCCTTCATTTCCCTTGTCCCTTGCAAGGTGTTACGGGGTAACAACGAATCGAGAGGACTCTATCGAGTTCGACGGATTAGGACAGAGGAAAGCGGGAGTTGGAGGCAGTGCTGCAGTAGGTAGGGACGGGTTTTCCCTTTTCGAGATTTCCCCACTGGGTTTGCTCAAAAGCGGTTTTTCACCTGTCCGAGTATGTACATAGACGCTTGCAGTAGGAACTGAGAGGAGGACACGGATACCTGTAGACAGTATATAGTACAATCAGCAAAGTACCAACTTTGCTGATTCTTCAATATCATTCTTTGGCTACATCGATTGCAGAGGAGACACGATCCATTAGCACCAGAGCCCCTAGATTTCCACGAGACCTCCATCGAGTTCGACCCAACCTGCGACCTAGTCGTCGTGTTTCCAGTACCGTTACACAAGGCTCGAAGGAGGTGGCGCAACTCCGACGTGGTGGCGTCAACTTCGTCGAACTTCGGCAGACCTTGAATAAGGTTACTCTCTTGTATCATGGTACTTCCTTTTCCCGAGTGATAATCCGCCCGTCTAGACAACCCGTCTGGAAGGCTTGCTTGAGTCCCTGGTCGATAAACCATTTTAAATCTGAAGTTAGCTAACTCTTCTACCCACCTACCTTGACGTGGGCTGAGTTGCTTCGGTTCCATCCAGTAAGTGAGATTTAAATGGTCGGTAAGGACCGTGGTTTCTACCTGCAGTAGTAAGTGTCTTCTTCTTCTGAAACCCTCAACTACGGCGAGGAACTCCTTTTCTCCTACCGTGTAATTTAGTTGGGCCGTATTGAACGCGCCTGACTCGATGGCGACTGGGTGCTCTTGCCCAGCTGTATTAATCTGCGAAATTATGAAACCCCAGCCGAAGAACGAGGCATCTGTCTGTAATATGGTCTTCAATGTGGGGTCAAAGTGAGCTAACACCGGCGCAGTACACATCCTAGCCTTCAATTCTTTAAAGGCTGACTCCTGTTCTGCTCCCCACACAAACGGTACCTCCTTCCTCGTCAAATCATTGATAGGTCTAGCAATCTTCGAGAAGTTGGGAACAAAACGCCTGTAATAGCTCACGACTCCAATGAAACCCCTCGACTCTCGTAGATTCTTTGGACATGGGAAGGATGTGATGGCGTCAATGTACTCTGGATTAACCGATACACCTCGAGAGGAAACCACAAAACCCAGGAATACCACCGAATCTCTTTCGAACTCGCACTTACTAGCTTTCACGTACAAGTTCGCCTTCCGCAGCATCTCAAAGATGTCACGGCCGTCGAACAACTATCTTCTGGCAGACCGACGGTCGACGAACCTCGGCTAACTTGATGCTCCTGAGTTGAAGTCTCACCCAACCGAGAGGGCGCAGACGTCAAAAGGAGTGTAACTACGGCGTACTTCGGCGTAGTTACTCTAACTGGGGTTTTGTTCTACTGATGGCGATGTATCTCGAATTGTATATAGCTATCTCTATCTGTCTTTCTCTACTGACAACAATCAAGGATCGCTGAAGAACTTCAGCGATCTTCTCAGCTAATATTATCTACTCCTCCTAGACGTTCATCCAACCCTCTCGCGCTTTGACGTACTTCAACGCACTTCGTCCAACTTCCCCGAGCCCTCGGCCATCCTCTTCCTCCTTCGACTAACTCCGCCTAACATCGCCGCACTTCTGCTCCCATTGTCCCTACTTAGCCTAACTCCATCTAACTTCGCCGTACTTCTGCTCCCATTGTCCCTACTTAGACTAACTCCGCCTAACATCGCCGCACTTCTGCTCCCATTGTCCCTACTTAGCCTAACTCCGTCTAACTTCGCCGTACTTCTGCTCCCATTGTTCCTACTTAGCCTAACTCCGTCTAACTTCGCCGTACTTCTGCCCCCATTGTCCCTACTTAGCCTAACTCCGTCTAACTTCGCCGTACTTGGTGTCAGAAGTCCTGAGTTACGTGTAGAGTAAAGAGGTTAAGGCGTGATGGGGTTTTGATGGCCAAAGGAGGGTCATTGTTGGTGGAGTAATCGAGGTGTCGCGACGTAGTTCGTGACAGTCGCCCCCTTCTTTAGCCGCGAACGTCCTCGTGAGCGATTACACCTCTGTCGTGACAAGAGAACTTAGCAGCGTAGTACCCCCATTCTCTCCCTCCCCATGACCATCCTTCACCCTTCTGCTCTTTGCGCCGCACTTCGTAGTTGGGCCTCCTTTCACTCCAAAACCCGACAATGAGACTCCCCTAACTTCGTCGAGGTTTGCCGTAAGAAGCCCTGTGTCTTTTGTAGGTGAGACACGCTTCCTGAATGGCAGCCGAACAACACCGTTGTTTGTCGAAGTAACCCTCGCTTATATTGAGATGAGACACTATAGCGTGGGAATTTTGATCGTCCCTGCGATGCCTTTTGTTGATGAAACGCGAAGTTTGCTGCATGTTGACGACGAGGGGTTAGGTTTGATTATACTAAATACTGAGCAGTTCGTCGAGCTTCTCTCTTTTTCCCATCTGCTTTCAAAACTTTCTATCTCTCTTACCTAGAAAACAGATTTGTTACCTTGAATCATCGCCTCAAGTTTTATTCTCTTTTAAATATCTTAACGTCATGGCCCCTTCTACTCCTACACCCAGCCCTTTCGCCGCCATGAGGAACTTTGGTGGTATGGTGTCATCTGCTCGTGAGTTTTCATCGATACTCACCCTACCTCGCCGAACTTGGCTGATGTTCAGTTTCTTTCGGCGACAGGTCTCGCCAAGTCTCCTCCCTCGGCCTCGGCACTCTCTCTCTGGGGGAGCCGTCTGGCGCTGCCTCGCCCCCTCGCTCCGCCTCTCCCTCCGCTGGTTCTCCCTCCCCCGTGTCTGGTTCTCCCGTCCCCGTAACGGGTTCTCCTGGAGGGCCTCCTCCTGCCGCCACTCCTCGCCGTAGGACGCCCGCCTTTCGTCCTGGTGAGTCTCCGTCCTCCTCCGACCAGGACTCGCTCAGTGGGGGCTCGGAGTCGAGTGATCGACCCGACACCGAAGAAAGTGAGGATGATGATGATGGGGAGGGTAGGATCGATAGTGAGGGTGAAAACGAGTTAGAAGAATACCCGGATGATGATGTGGAGGTGATTAGTGTAGAGGACAACAACGTAGATAGTCCTGAGCGTGAGTTCTTCGTCCAACCTCTCACACCTTCGCCGAACTTGGCCTTGTTTATCTGTTCTTTAGCTCTCCAAGACATTGCTAACTCGCAGCCGGTCCTGCCCCTCCCCCTGCTCAAATTGTGGGCCAGAAACGACGCCGTTCCCTCTCCTCTTCTTCTTCTTCCTCTTCTTCTTCCTCTTCCGGGGTTCTCCCCCCCCCACAGCGTCATCGACGCTGGCGCTGCTGCTGCCGGCGCCTGGCCTAGTGGCGCCGCCCCCGTTGCTGCCGCTGCTGCCGCCGCCCGCCCTGCTGCCGCCGCCCCCGTCGCTGCTCCCCCCCCTTCTCCCAGAGGGGAGCCTTCGCCCAAACGGGTGAAGAGATCACTGCGGGAAGAAGAGTACTTGTGGGAGAAGATGAAGTCCGAGCCTGGTCGTTGGATCGCGGTTGGTGTTGACGAAGCGTGTGATCATTGCCGGTGAGTCCACCTATTCGTACTACGCCGAAGTTACTCCTGCTAATTAGTAGACGTGAGATTATCACGTATAATCGTCCAAACTGGCCCTGCCTCAAGGCAGTCAGGCCACACAACAAGGCCCTCCGTTGTGCTTCATGCACGTCTGGCCCCTGCTCCTTCTGTCCCGTTTCCTCTGCCCGGGACATCCCGCCCCGTCCCTTCGACGCTTCTCCTCTCCCCCCTCCCCAGACTCCAGCGTCTGTCCCCCGTTCGAGGGTACCGTCTTCGTCTCTCCGGTCGGTTCGCCGAACTTCGCCGTCCTCCCGCTCGTCGCCTCCCTCGCCCTCGCCTTTTGTTCCTGTGGCCGGCCCGTCGCGTCTCCCGGCTGCTCCTCCTTCGTCCTCCCGTCGTCCTTCGACCTCTCGGCCCTCGGCCCCTCGTCCGTCCTCTCCTGTGGTGGCTTCTCCTCCGGCCCACAGCACCCGAAGTCGCCGTCCTTCTGCTCCTCCGGCCACCCCAGCGGCCGCCCCTGTCACCGAGTCCCCCGCTGCCAAGAAGACCCCGAAGTCTTCTTTAAAGAAATCAAAAGGGAAAAGGAAGGAGAAAGAGGTCGTCTTTGAAGCTGGTGATGTGGAAGATGAAGCTACTCAGCGTGCTGGGCCCTCTGTTCCTCGGTTGTCCTTCGTCCACCCTCGTATCTCCCTGGACCCTCGTATCACGGAGGACGAGAAAGAATTTGCTACGTATCGTTCTCTCGTTCTCGGCCTCACCACTCAGCTTGACGTCGCTCGGCGTGATACATCTCTCTTGCTCGACTTCTCCACTCGTCAAGCCAACGCCTTGAATAACCTTACTGCGGCGTTAGTAGATGTAGTCAACGGTGGGAATCTGAACGAGGAAGCAAGGACGAGGTTAGCGGACGTCTCTCGCCGAAGCCTTACTGAGATAGCCGATGTTCGCCGAAGACTTTACGACACCCCCTTCCTCGTTACTCCTATGGCATACGAGCCACCACTGTCCATCGGCTGGTTAGGCCCCCGGAGTAGTTCTCGAGTCCCTGCTTCTGCTCAGACTGCTCTCGATCTCCTTAGTCTTCCTTCCGAGTGTCTTAGGACCATACGTTCCCTGTGGAGGACTCCGAGCATGCAAGCTGCTCGGGATGTCCAGGACTTTGGTGATTTCTTTGGGGCTATGAACCGGGCATGGAATGCTTCCCTCTCGACTGTTTTCCCCCCTGACAGTCTCGATCTACCTTCGGCCATCGGTACTCTCCACACCAATCTCGCGGGGCCGAGTAGCGCGAAGGAGAAAGGAAAAGGAAAGGGTAAGGGTAAGGGCAAGTGAGCGGTACATAGCTGTAATCCTATGTTGTATGCAGTACGTTCTACCTCCTAGCCCTCCGCAGTCGCCCTTCCTTCGGCTTAGTAGGGTGAAGTTCGTGGAACTTCGCCAATATGTCATCAGCTCCGTCGACGTTCTCTACTGGTTCCCATGATACCGAATCGTCTGTTCCTTCGTAACCTAACCACTCTACTAAGTACTCTAACTTTCCTGATCTTTTATTTACTCTAGAGTCCACAATGTCCTTTACTTCCCACGATTCTCCTACGTTATCTACTTCTACTGGGCCAGGTGGTTCAGCTTGCTGACCAGGGAATACTGGAGGATGATAGGGACGAAGCAATGAAACATGGAATACATCATGGATACCTGCCATCGTTCCTGGTAATTCCAATTTACAAGCATGAGAACCTACCTGCCGTACTACCTTGTACGGCCCACCTTGCTTCACATCTAACTTCTTCATTGGTCTTTTAGTCTTGATGTTCTCTAACGACAGCATTACTAGGTCACCTTCCACGAAGTTCGGCGTAGTCCGGTGTTTCCTATTGTATCCTTCGGCGTACTTCTCGTTAGCTCTCTCAATTCCCTCAATACATTCTTTATGTATTTCGGTTAGGTCTTTTACCACCACTGTAGCAGCAGGTACCTCGACCTCACTGGCCTTAATCTCTTCAGCCCACCGAGGGTGGTACCCGTAGTTCGCATAGAATGGGGTCTTGTTTATCGCTGAATGATGGGTGTTGTTGTAAGCAAAGCTAGCTCGAGCAAGCAGCTTCGACCAGTCGTTCTGCTGGTAGGAAGTGAAGATTCGAAGGTATAATTTGAGGGACTGGTTGGTTCGTTCGTGTCACAGACGTCGTTTCTTCTTCTCTACTGACCGGCGGTCGACAAACCTCGGCTAACTACGTCGTAGTGGGGCGTCGTTGTCTCACTAAGACAGGGTACTCGTCGAGGAACTACGGCTAACTTCGCCGTAGTGATTCGTCGAGTGGTAAACTGATAAGATGATCGTCAATGAACTGCGGCTAACTTCGCCGTAGTACGCTGAACTGCTCGGTGGTAGCTCTCCTTAATTCGAAGGTTGTAGCTACTGAATATATCTCTCGCTACTGACAACAATCAAGGATCGCTGAAGAAGTTCAGCGATCTGTAAACTATCTATACTACTCCTCTCTTCTCGTAGAATGTCCCTCAACTCCTGCACTGCCTCACGCTCAGTCCTCTTCGTTCAACTTCGCCGTACCTTCCCCTGTTCTGCTCTCCCTCGGTTCCCTTCCCCTAACTTCGCCGTAGTTCCCCGCTAGGCGGGGTTATCGTGACAAATCCCCTCTTGGTTCTCGTAACTTAGCCGTAGTTGGTCTCAGTGGTTCGAGTGGAGGTTGGTAGTGGTGAAAAGGAAGGTCGGTGATGGTGAAAGGAGGGTCGGTGATGGCGGTTGTCAGGGATGTTACGACGTAGTTCGTGACAGTTCGGTCTGTCCATCAGTCTGTGGATGATACGCGGTAGAAAGATGTAGTCTTATGCCGAGACTATCGGTCAAGTTCTTCCAAAACTTCGAGGTAAACTTCGATCCTCTGTCCGATACTATACTCTCTGGTAACCCATGCTGGGCCACCACATAGTCCATTATCAGCTCAGATAGTCCAGCTGCGGTTAATTTCGTCGTGGTTGGGATAAAAATGCCCCATTTGGTCAATCGGTCCACCACTACCAGGATGGAATTATATCCATGGGAATTCGGAAGCTCTTCGATGAAATCCATCGAGATGCTTGACCAGGGTTTAATAGCCACTTGCAATGGTTTGAGCTCTCCATGGGGTTTCTGTCTGTTAGTCTTTGCTCTCTGACATACCGCACAGCCAGCGATATAATCTTCGACATCCTTCCTTACTCCAACCCAAACGTAATCCCTCAGGACAAGCTCGAGGGTCTTCGCTGAGCCTGGGTGACCAGCTAGGGCCGAATCGTGTCGCATCTTCATGATCTTTAGCCGAGCCTCGGCGTAGTTCGGCACATAAGTGCGATCGTCAAACGTGAGGAAACCCCTTGAGTTCCATCCTCCCCGAAGTATTAGAGGGGATCGCGAACTACGGCGTAGTTCGGTGATTGATCCTGGTTCCTGTACGTCATCGTGACACGTTGGATGGGAACACTCAGCGCAAATGACTCCTAATAGCTCTTTTCTAACCTCCTCCACTTCTCCATCTTCCTGTACCCCAACAATCAGATCCATGGGATCAATAAGGTCATTCTCTCTTACTTCCTTTGTCCCTTGCAAAGCACGAAGTAGGTGTTGTAACCCAGAGCTAGTGCCGTCGAGTTCGTCGAACTTCGGCAACCCTTGAATAAGATTGCTCTCCTGCACCATAGTACTTCCTTTTCCAGAGTGGTAGTCTGCTCTTCTCGATAGTCCATCCGGCAGTGTAGCTTGTTTCCCAGGTCGATACACCATTTTAAACCTAAAGTTAGAAAGCTCTTCGACCCACCTGCCCTGCCTCGGGCTTAACTGCTTCGGTTCCATCCAGTATGTCAAGTTCAAGTGGTCCGTGAGAACTGTAGTCTCTACCTGTAATAGTAAGTGCCTCCTTCTTCTAAAAGCCTCAACGATAGCTAGTAGTTCCTTCTCGCCTACCGTATAGTTTAACTGCGCCGCTTGAAACGCTCCTGACTCGATCGCTACCGGATGTTCTTGTCCTAACTCGTTTACCTGCGATATTATGAAGCCCCACCCGAAGAACGACGCATCTGTCTGTAGTAATGTCTTCAACGAAGGATCAAAGTGAGCCAATACCGGGGCCCTACACATTCTATCCTTCAACTCTTTAAAAGCTCTTTCCTGCTCCATACCCCAGACAAACGGTACATCTTTTCTTGTGAGATCATTGATCGGTTTAGCAATCCTGGAGAAGTTGGGGACGAAGCGCCGATAATAACTAACGACTCCCATAAATCCTCTGCTCTCTCTTAGGTTCTTGGGACGGGGAAAAGATACAACAGCGTTGATGTACTCTGGATTACTAGAAACTCCCTCCCGTGAGACCACGAAACCCAAGAAGACTACCGAACCCTTTTCAAACTCGCACTTACTAGCCTTGACGAACAGATTCGACCTTCGAAGAACTTCGAACACCTTCGCCGTAGTTCCTCTCAATTCTTCCAACGTCTGACCATAGATGAGTATATCATCTATGTAGACAACCACTCCCTTCCCCAACAGTTCTCTGAAGCTTTCATTCAGAAAATGCTGGGAATACAGCAGGAGCATTTCGCAGACCATCTCGAACAACAAGAGACTCGAACATACCGTACTGAGTCCTGAATGCCGTCAGGTGCTCGTGTCCTTCCTTTACCCGTAGGAGTTGATAAGCTCCAATCAGATCTAACTTGCTGAAGTACCTCGCTTTTCCTAGCTCTTCGGTTATCTGACCGATCAGAAGGCAGTGGATAGGCATCGGGTATCGTTGCCTCGTTTAACTTTCGGTAGTCAATGACCATTCGCCATTGACCCTTTGCTTTCTTCGGTACCAAGAACATCGGTGATCCGTAGGGCGAATTACTGGGTCGGATTCTTCCGGCCGATATTTCGCGATCTAGGATGTCTCTCAGCGCACTTCTCTGATCTTCTCCGAGTGAGTAGAGTGGAGCAACCTTCAGGTTCGCCCCCTCCTTAAGCTCAAATTCCAGATCATACTCCCTGCGTAACCATGTAGTACGTCC